TTTAATATTAAAAAAAATAAATAAATAAATAAAATAAACAATTTTTTATGAGAAAATATGTAAGTTGTTAAAATATATACAAGGTAGATTTATTCAAAAAATCAAACAAAATTGCTAACCAACGGCCACACCCCGCATAAACGCAATCTGTGCACCCATCTGGCAGCCCTGAAATATATTAGTCATCGGCAGCGCGCGCTCCAATGCTCTTGCATGTCGTTGCTTTGCTGGTTTTATCCCACACTCACAGTCGCAGCTTATGTATGTACTTATAGCTGACACTAATAGCAGCGAGCAGGAAACAGTAGTGGTCCCGCTCGCACCTATGCTTTAAATATCGTGTAATGGCTGTAGCTCGCAACTACCGCTCGTCATCAAGTTGCTTTCGCTTCAGCCATTGTAAAGGGAACAAATGAAAATTTCCAATTTTAATGTCAGGCCATGCACATATGGTAGGTATAACAATATGTAGATATGTACAAATGTCTATAGTATTGAATATACTAACAGCTAAGGATGCACTTGTTTTAAAAATAAATATTTAATGTTTATACGACATATAGACATCGCACAATTGGGCGGACGGGTGCAATAATGGAAAATCGGTCATTTGAATATGCGTTTTTTTTTTGCGCTGAGGTAGTTAGGCCGCTTAATCGGCCTAGAGGGCAACACTTGCAAGCGATAGCCGATAGCGCAAGCAACCCTAAAACTGGTGTCGTTTTTTATTGTATTATTGATATTGCTTGGGCATGTGTATGTGGAATTGCGAGTGTGAATGCCAATGATTGAATACCTTTTTCATTTCCTAAATAAGAATGGTATGATGGGGTTACATAATATGATGAATAATTTAATAATATAGGACTAAATAGTTATTTGAAAATTTGGATATTAATAATATGGCTCCCAGTTAACTAAATAGATTGTTTATCAAATGATATTTAATTATTTTTAAAATTCGCTTTTCAGCACTGCTTTAAATGGCAGTGTTATACAATAGCCTCATTTCCAAATAACGTTCACTTTTATATTAATTTTTGTCAGCATTTGATCACGAATGTGTTGAGACAAAACTTTTCTAGTTATGAGCATATCTAAAAAAGAATTTAGCATAAAATATTATCAAATAAGGAAATATATTAGTTATTCTTTACAAAATTTAGGTTTTTTTTGAATACCGCGCTTTCCACTTTTTATCGACAAATGCAACTCTGTTGGCGTCTGATTCACCAGTGGTGTCGCTTATAAATATATTCGTTCGTTACTCATTGAAGGGTAACGGTTACTTGAAGGAAAATAGCTATTTTTAGCGTGTAATTTAGATTATTAAAATATATTGCACATATTTTTATGATACAAATAATATTACAAATACATTAAATGCACTTTCAAACACAAACATCTAAATGATTACAACTATTTACATGAAAAGTACTCGATACTCGTTACAAAAAACTGTAAGTACTGTTGCCAGAAGCGGCCTGCCAGAAGCCGCCTGGCAGACGCCGCCGTATCATAGCCAATCAGGTTCGAGCATATCGCCTACACTGAAGGCATTTGGGCCCCGTTGGCGGCTGTCAGACTTAGCTGAAACAGTTTACGACAAGCAAGCAAACTGTTCGCAACTGAGTGCGTTTCCAGCTCGAAATATTTTTTTTTGTGAATTTTGTCACGACGAGTGCGCTTAGCGGTAAACACAACTTATTCATATTAACAGCTTTCCAAATTTTCGGGTGCCAAGAATATTTTTTTGACATTTTGTTAGTGCTGCTCAAGTTATTATTTTTTTTGTTCTATTCCAAAGTGCAAAACGCGGCGTGCCAAATTTATATTGCGTGCAAAATTGCCAAAAAGGAAATTATACACATACATAAATACACACACCGACACAGACCCACACATGCAAATAAAGGCACACATACCTACACATACACGTACATTACGTTTGATTGGTTAGGACAGATATTTTTTTTGCGAAATTTTTTTTCTTAGCTAAGATTATTCAAAGTTTAGCTTTAATTAGTCGACAGCTGTTGAATTAGCCACAAGGCCGCCAAAAAAAAAAAAGCTTGAGGAAGACGAAAAAAACAATACAAAGGGAACTTTTTGTCTTGGCACGCGCGCAACTCCCCAAAACCAACGACAACTTTACAACAATAACTAAGGTGAGTGAATTGTGAAAAGTTCTAAGTGAAGTTGTGCAATAAATTGACATACTTATGCATGATTGTGTGTGTACCACAGCGTGAGAGGGTAGGCAAATTGCCCGGCCGGAGCCCAGAGATGGCGCCAGCAATTTTAGATCTTGTATGGTTAACACGAACAGTTCAGAAAATCAAATCAAAAAATCTAAATAAATAAAATAATTAAAATAAACTGATTCTCATATTGCCCTTCTGTCAGTTTTGTTTTTCTTTTTTTTTTTTTGGCTAGATCAATGCTTCTACACTGCGCAACAAAATAGGAAATCTGATTCGTTGTTTGAATTCAATCTAACGACGTTTTGAATTTGATTAGCATACAAAACTCTATTGTCTGTAGTTTAAGACAGTTGACGTCATTTGTTATTTCAGATTTGTATATTTCAATTATTTATTTATTTTTCTTGCCTAATYTGTCGCTTAATTTATGAGCCTGCCTTGAGAGGTAATTATGAGACTAAAAGCTTTCTATGCAAACCAATTTCACAAGCTTGATTGGCGTGGGAGTAAGAGACGCATACACGCACACATACACATACAAATTCAAACACACACGTTAGCTTAGAAGCTGTTGCTTGCGAGTAACGGAAACATGCTGCGCTCTGTCTCTGTCTAATGCAGTCCTGGGTTATTTAATGGAAATTTGATCTTTTGAATTGAAATTGCAAAATTGAGCAGGAGCAGTAAGAGAGAGCGAGAGAGAAAGATAGAGAATGGAAGAACGAGGGATATTGATAGGGATGAGAGGGATATTGTATTGAGTATGGTTTGTAACGAGAATATTATGTAGTTTTCATTATTATGAATATATAAATAAATTATTAATATAAAGAAAATAGAAAATTAGCAATCAAAGTAATAGTAATAATAAACAACTGCTTATCTTTAATACGTACATATGTGTTATGTAATATTAATTTAAAGTTTTCTTAAATTCCCCTGATTTTATGTATGCATATATTTCGGTACATCATTTAAGATCCTATTGAGGTCCGCATTAATTAAAAAGCAGAAATCAGCGTTAGTTCAATGCAGCGCAGTAAATTGTAGCATACGTTTATGGGCTCACACACACACACACACACACACACACACACACACACACCAACACACACCAACACATACATACAGTTGTCAAGTGAATGCAATTGCACACACACACACACACACACACACACGCACAGAGTCGCCCACACGCACACAGAGCGTGTATTTATAGATCAGGTTTCGCTGTCGCTCCGTTCTCTCTGTAATCAACAAGCTGTCTTCGTTTGTCCAACTGTCAATGCATTTCTAATTGAGTTAATCAGCAAAAGTTTTCTGCTCGTCGTCGTTGTCGTCTCTCTCTCTCTCTCTCTCTCTCTCTCTCTCTGTCTCTCTGTCACTCGATCTGTCTATCTCTTTCATTCTGTTTAATTTGGCGTCGCTCGACGTGTGGCATTGTTGCATGCTCATAATTCTGCCTCCTGCCTTTTGTTGGCTTCCTTCTGTCAGCTGCTGCTGCTGCATCCTCTTTGCACTTAAATGAATTTCCATGAATGCATTATAGCGAGATGGGGTTATCAGCCAGGGCCCCGCCTACCTCACATCGCCCACCGCCCATTGCCTGCTATTGAGTGCAAATTTTCCTCTTTTCTATGTGGGTGTGTGGGCGTGCAGCTTTGTGGGTGTGACTGAGTCCATTCTTCACATTTTGCGGCTGGCCCAGTAGCCGCCCAAGCCACCCACTTCACCAAGTCCACCCACTCTACCCACTGTCCAGTGTTCGCCTTGCCAATGAGTCAGTTATTTCTCGTTAGTCAGCAAACTATTAAAAACATTTCCGCTGTTATTATTTGACATTTCCCTTTTCGTATTTAACTAGGAACACTTTTTTTTACAGCTGTTTTCCCCGTTTATCCATAAGGTTTGACTAGCGAATGGTTTTATGCTTTGTTAATCCAAATAGCAAGCCCTTAGTCCAGGCACAGCCGCGAAAATGTGTCAGCTTGTGCAAGAGCTGAGAATTTAGAATTGGTTTTTGTGTAGGTAGAGCTGGTGCCTGGTACTCCAGGCATGAGATGATGGTATGACTAAAAAGATATTTGGTAGATTAAATCGAGTGCTCTCAGATATTCTGGAATTTTTTATCTTAAAACTAGGGGTAATAATATCTAAATAAATCTCTATAATATTTAGAGGTTTTCTTTTATTTTGTAAAAGCTTCAATTTGAATTTTAACAGAGTTTTCAAAGAGTTCCTTAAGTTATTTTCTAGTTAAATTTAGAGTTTTGAATTATATTTATTTCAATTTCTTTCCATATCTAAATTTTTTATTTATTTTTTTTTTCTAGTTAAAGTGCAAATTTCTATTGCATTTATCAGGAATGTCTATACAGTATGTCCATCTGTCTCGTTTTCTTTTTAATGAGGTGTCTATTTATTTATTTTTGCATTGTTTAAGTTCGTTTGCAATTTGACCAGGAATGCTTATATACATATATATTTTTAAGCTCTTTTTAGCTCTTCATTTTTACAGAATTTATTTAAGGTTTTTTCTTCAGTTAAAGCAATAATCAAAAATTCTTATATACATCTCCATTTCGTTCCATTATATCATTATATTCTATGAGTTTTTAGTCATTTTTTCAGTTATCAGAAATCCTCTTGTGTATCCTTATATTGGTCCATCTAATTGCAATCATTAGATATTTGCATATCTATATACACAAATCTCGATCCATCCATCTAATTCTACAATTTCCATAACTGCAAGAAAATCGATATATGAATATATTCCTTTCAAGTCCGAATCAAAACACACACACATACTCATATAGCTATGCCTAAGCCATTTATTATGCATAAACGGTTTGATAGACCTGAAATAATGCGCGTTTCTCTAGCATAATAAAAAAACTAATTGAGGACAATTACAGATTTCAGATATTCCAGTGAATTTTCATTTCATTCATATCACCTGGAATAGCAAACATGAAAGACGTACAAAGTTCCTCACACATAGACCCACACACACAGTCGCATACACCTGAATATATGCAAAGAAACAGATACCGTGAATCTATAATAATCTGTGCGAGCTTCTGGAGCAGCTTTCTCTACACTTGAAAAGAGAGGATATTTTTGCTTTTATATTGTGTTCCGAAAGTGGGAAAGGGTATATTGGGTTTGCCCGTGCATCTGTCGAAACTTTAAAATGGGATAGTTGAGTTCTTGATAAGAGGAAATATGTTTTTTTTTTATTTTTTTATTTTTTTTTTATATTTTGTTTTGTATTTTTTATAAGTAAGAATAATAATAACAGAAATGTGTATTTTTTAAAGGCCTATTTAAGGTAAAGTTTTATTATTCAAAAAATCATTTAATTAAATTACAATCATTTAAAATAATGCTCCATACTCATCAATGCCTCCCTCCCTATACTCTCTATTTTAACGAACTGTAAATGAATTAATTCCTGGTAATGGAATCACGACACGCTCCCATCTGTTCCATCTATCGTAAGCTCAAATCGATGACAGTTTGCTATGCTTTTAATGTATATTTGCTAAGTGCAGTTGAGTTCCTGTTAACATGGCCTTACCGTTGCAAATCAGGCTTATAAGCTCCTCAATGTATAATGGAACGAGCCGAACAATAACTGCGCACAAGCGAAGGGAACAACAACATTATTAATAACCCACAATAACGGCATTTACAACAACAAAAGCCGTAGGAGTAACGCCAGTAGCAGTAGCAGCATCAACAGCAGCAACAACAACAGCATAGTCTATGCAATTTACAGTTGCATTTGATTCAGTACTCACAATGTCATTTCGCTCTTCTGGCTCTCTGGCTGGTTCCATCTCGCTTCATCTCGCTTTTGCGTGCTTTGTCCTTGGTTGCAGCAGCTGCGAAGAGTTGTTGTTGTTATTGCTGCTGCTGCTGGTCCGTCCTGGTGCTGCTTTGGTTGCCAAGGCCACGGTACGTGCTTTACATCGACTCTTTCACACAGCATTCGTTGCGCTTTTGGCTCTCCTCTCGCTCATTGCTAATTGATGTTGGTGTGGGTCTATGGGCGCACGAGTGAGTGAGTGAGTGAGTCAGTCAGTCAGTGAGTGAGTGAGCGTGTGAGTGAGCGAGTGAGCGACCAAATGGTGTATGGAGGAGGGCGATTGTTGTCTTCTTTGCCTATTAATATGCGTTTTGTTCAGCCCCAGCTGCGTTTGTTGCCTCTGTTCAGAGGCTTTAGTTCAGCTCTTCTCTTTGATATTTGATTTGCAATGTTTTGTTGGAGGCCTATTTGTTGTTGTTATTGTTGTTCGTGCTATTGTTGCTGGTGCCTGCTGCCTGGTGCTGCTCATAATTGAATTGCCAGCGTTACGCATTGTCGCTCACTCACAAAAGTATGCAGCAAATTTGTGCAGCTATTGCGCCTGCGTCGACCGAGTTTGCATGTGTATGCATGCATGCGTGTGCGTGTGCCTGTGTGTGTGTGTGTGTGTGTGCATTACTTTATTAAGCAATTGATTACAATGACAGGCACTGTTGCGTGATATGTGCCTACGCCTGCCTGCTGAACCATAGAATTTATTGAATTGTACTATTCCACCTGTATCTATAGCTGCCCTCAAATAAAAAATGTATGCACAACTAATAGATATCGAAAAATATTTGCATGCACAGAATGCAAATATTTGTTTTCTCTCTTTCATTACAGACGCAAAGAAGACCATATTCAAAGTAAACAAAACCCAAGCGAAACAAAACATAAATAAAGATGTCTGATCGCAAAGCTGTCATTAAGAATGCTGATATGAGCGAGGAGATGCAGCAGGATGCTGTTGACTGCGCGACACAGGCCCTCGAGAAGTACAACATCGAGAAGGTAAGTTAAGATTGATGAAGAATATAT